AAGAGGGAAAGAAGGAAGGAAGGAAGGAAGGAAGGAAGGGAAGGAGAAAGGAAAGAGAGAAGGAAGGAAGGATAGGATAGGATGGTGAGCAAGAGAGAGAGGCCCTGAGAAAAGAGCCCAAGGTGTTGCATCTGCCCCCCCCCCCCAGTCCTGCTCATGTCTGAGATAGAGCAAATTCAGCAATTCTTCACTCGACACATGTATGAAGAATGAAATTTACTGCCACAATGTCTGGCATTGGCCTCTAATTTAGACACCTTTAAAAGGGTATAGGATTTCTGGTCACTGTGGAGAGAAAAAGATGCTGAATTAGACAGGCCTTTGGGATTCCTCTTGTTTTCCTGGACTTTTCTTTTTCTATTAAGTTATTCAATGTTGAATCAGTGAGACTTTAATAGAAATTTGGAACAACAGTATAACGTTGTATGGTTTCTATACTTAGAATAAACTTTAGCCAGATTTTACAGTGCAGTTTTCTGTAAAATCTAGATCTGGAAAAATACTACAACACTGAAGTAGATGTAAACAAATGGTTTACATCCAACCTCCAACCTCCTCAATTATGATTGTGTCAACATACCATAAACAAAATAAATTATGTTTGGTTATGTCATATTTTGCTGGAATTTGTAATGGAATCAACTAAAAGTTATTTCTCCTATTTATCACCAAGTATATGTCCAATGGTAATTTGAATGTACCTGTTATATATATATGCTCACTTTCTCTCTCTAAAAAGAGACTCAAAGTGGCTTTTGGTAAAAGCAATATAATGCAATTAAAACCTAAAATATACAAACATTGAAAAGAATTAAATATGAACACAGTATTACACTTGAAAGAGGATGTGCAAAGATGCATTAGCAAGGCATATACATCTGACATCCACAGGCATTTTGCAAAGAAATGACAGTTTTTTGCTGGGGTGGAATATCATACAAATATTGTTCCATCAAATCAAGAAAATAATATGCTAATTCATTGCCAGAATAAGAAAGGCACTGGGGAGTGTTTTGAGTTTGTTCCAGCTTAGCATACAAAACATAAGTGACTTGTGAGCATGTGATGCTGGCTGTTTTGGTAAATATTTTATATAAAATTGTGTTTATTGCATTTTTATGAGGAGAAGAGGCTTGCTGTCTTTCAATGTGTAAATTATTTTTCAGCTTTTCAGTTTTTCTGTAAAGGGTTTTCTGTATTCATCTTATCGCCAAATAAAACCAATGAGATCACTATTGACATGAATTCCCATTGTGTGCAAAAGTAGTTCCAATTAGAATAACAGGGCTGGTTGAAAGTATTTACTATTTACCCTTTCAACCATCACTATTAGGAGGATAGCTCCTTTCCATACCTTTTGGTAGGTTGTAGATATGAAATTGTATGGAAATAATCTATGTTGCAATACCTTCTTATGAAGGCATTTCTCTGCCTCCAGAGTGTTATGTTGGAACCATTTTGCTCCTCCATTTTATTTTTAAATGTGTTTATTGGAATGTTAGTCTGATTTTTCCTGCGCTCTAGTAGACTGGAGCAGGATGTTTGTGTACGTGTATGTTCATAACCACCATAAGGAAGTAAAAAGGGGTTCAATGGTTGTGGTCCCTTACCACATTTAAATTGCCTTATCTATTAGAACACAAATGTTTGGGTAACCATAACAACAAAAATGTGTTTTATGGTTATACATACAGTCCCCGAGTTACAAACATCCAACTTACATATGATTCCTAGTAAAACAGGGGCAAACAATAGAAAGTGAGAGGAAATCTACCTCTAGAAAGGGAAAATCAGTCCTGAAACGGTTGTTATGGGGGGGGGGGGGGGGGGAGTCTCCACTGAAGCTGTATGATCAATCACTGTTTCTACAACAATCCAAAACAAGTGTTGTTGGGCCTTCATTATGTTATCCAAAACACACACACACATATATATAGACTGTAGTTATGCTTAAAATGTCCCTATTCTGACTAAATTCAACTTCAGAACAAATCTGCAGAACCAGTCAAAGATCTTGAAGGTCTTTCAACGAATCAGTCAAATTTGAAGACAAGATCATACTTTGTCTTAAGTGGATTTCATTCCCTAGTAAATCAAACTGAAAACAGAAGCTTGTACACGAAAACCAGTTTTTCCACCTGACATGGTCAGTCTGCCTTACTAATATTTCAGTTTTATTCCTGACAACTGTTATATGCACTGTGGCCCTCTAGGTTCCTGACAGCTCTCCTGGTTTGAAAGCCCATTAATCTTATGTGGGATTGCTAACAACTTGAAGTGAGAATAAATTGAGAAAATCTGGTGTAGATGCTTGGGATAGGATGGAGCATAGCTTCTGTAGCAGAACCTGTATGAAGCTCTTAGGCATATTCTATTTTGGTCAATGCCAGTCACACTCTCACTATATCAGGTCTATAAGGTAGACACAAATATATGGCAACTGCAGACATTCTGTTTTATCTCTCAATAGTAATAATACAGAATTCTGGCAGCTTTCAGGTGTGACACAGATCATCTGTTTGGTGATATCAGAAGATCAGAAGTTGTCTTTTATTGGCAGCTTTGGTTCTTTTATCTCAGATTTGTCCATACTGAGTGTTGACAGCTCTGTTCGGATCCTGTCGTAATGGGGCAGGACTGGAACCTGAGACCTTCTACATTAAAAGCATATTTCTAATGCAAAACAAAAAACAAGCATCTGGCAGGATTATGTAGAAAGTACCTGTTACAAGTAACAAAATTATTGTCAGATGGGCTACTTTGTCTGTCATGTGCTGCTTGCTGTTATCTTTTCAGAACGAAGCCCATTATATGATGTACATGTACTTCTGGTTGGGCTCTTTCAGGAAAGAGGAGAGCAAGCAGGGGTGGCTTCTGTTGCCTTCAGGATAATGTGGGGAAGCTGGGTGGTGGTGATTCTCCCATGGGATAGAGATCAGGGTAAATCACATGATGCGGGACATGGAGTGATGGGTTCTCCATGCAATGATGCATGGCAAATTCATTGTTGCAGCCCAGCTGCCTACTTGATCCCCTTTTCACCCAAACATCACACAGACAAACAAGAATAGTAAATTTATTAAGAAAAGTGTATCTAATGTAAAAATAGTTTCAAAATACATCCATAAGCTAGATTTCCAGAGGTTTAATAAAAGCAATGACCAATTCTGAATAGGAATTCAAAAATCCCTTAAGGCAAAAGCAAGAAACTGTAATTCAAGGGTTGTTGCACTTAACCTAGAATTATATCCAAAAGCTTGAAAGCATGAACATGACTATAATCCAAAGGCTTGATACTGAAATTTGGCTATAATCCCAAAGGCTTGAAACTTGAAACAAGATTTGTAATCCAAACAGAAGGCATGGAACTTTAACAGAAAACAAGAACTCCTAACTTGGTGCTCCCAAAGACAGGAAACTTGACACATGAAAATCCAACGTTGATCTCCCCACCAAACATAAATTCCAATTCCTTAAAAAATCCTCCACCTTGCCCATAACATCAATCTTTCTCACACCTGGGTTCCCTTTGTTTATCTTTCAGTCTCTGGGAACACTGAATTTGTCTCTGTTTTGCACTATCCCTTATATCTGTAAACACTGTGTTATCTGTAACCCTCCTATCTCCTCCCCATTCCTTTTAGAGCCAATCCCCTCCCGATTCTCATGAGAATCACTGCCTGTTTCCCCAACAACAGATATACCAAAAACATTCCAATTGACTCATAAAACAACTTTTCCCCACAGAAACACCAGGTTCAACCAGAAAATCCTTGTTCTCATCCTCAGAGGCTTCATAGGCCTCAACATCCATGGACCTTTGTGATGAGGTCCTTTTCATATCACTTTTTGGTAATATTATTGATGTTCCTGCTTTTGAAAGATGATATAATGATTTTTTGCATAATTAATATTTCATTGTTACTCATCAAACATTGAATTGGGGTATCATGTTGAGAATTAAATGGATTTCCCATTTTTGGTGTTATGAAGTGTTTTTTTAAAAATTAAAAATATAAGAACAGAGTAGGGTGTTACAAAGGGGTAACATAGCAAGCTGTTTTGGAAAAGTATTGTCAACGAATCATTTTTAAAAGTAGCATTCTAAACTTTGCTTTTTTTCATTTTTCATCTTTTTCATGATTTTGATTTTCAACAAACCATATAAGGCTGTTTTGTCCAAAAGTAAATGATACTTTGTATAAATTATAATTTGCATTCAAATAAATCAGGATTGCAAATCTCTGTTGGATCCTAATGTGTTATCATTCAGAACTGTAAGCTTCTTATTTATTTATTTATTTAAAACACTTATATTCCGCCCTTCTCACCCCGAAGGGGACTCAGAGCGGAGCACAACATATACATGGTAAACATTCAATGCCTGGGTACAATACATAAACATTAAAAAACATTTATCTAAAGATTAAAATACACCATTTTAAATAACACAATTTAAAACCATCCTAGCCATCCACATCAAATCCAATTGGCCCTGTCATCTTTCCCATTGTCGCTTCATTGCCCTGTCCTGAAAGCTTGGTCCCACAGCCAAATTTTTACCATCCTTCTAAAGGACAGGAGGGAGGGGGGCGACCTGATCTCACAAGGAAGGGAGTTCCATAGCCGGGGAGCAATCACCGAGAAGGCCCTGTCTCTCATCCCCACCAATGGACAATGGTGGGACGGAAAGCAGGGCCTCCCCGGAGGATCTTAATCTCTGCGATGGTACATAGAGGGAGATGCGTTTGGACAGGGAGATGCGTTTGTGAACAACTGGGGTGAGGGCATACTAATGCTGCACCTGGACTGGCCACAACTCCATATTAAATGTTACTGGGCTATAATAATGTTAAATTGTTGGATACAAATGTTTTTACCTGCAATTGAATATGTTGTTGCTTGGAAGACACTTGTACATGGATTTGTTTTATGCATGTAGATTGGTGTACAGCGAATGACAGATGATACTATAATTAATCCTTTTAATTTATTAAAAGGTTCAAACCAACATATGAAAACTGCACCAGTTCCAGAGTCCACAAATCGGCTTACTTTGCCAGGTTAGTGAGTCCCAGTGTGTTGAAATGCCTGCTCAGAAATAATCTTAAGTACCATAGTTGCTACTCATTTTTATTCTTTTGTGAGAATATACACCTTCATATAGATGTATGTGCCCATTCATCAATGCCACAGTTGATAATAAAATGAATAATAATGAAGTTAAATTGATGATGAAATTAAATATCTTTATTGAGTTGATTTCCACAAGTACTCTGTTTTCAGTTGTATTATGAAATTTTGTAATTAGTTTCACTGCATCAAAGAAGATTTTTGGTTCCAATAAATGGTGTTTAGGAAAGACACACATTGTATAGTATGTTTTATATGCATTGTGTGCTTAGGAAATAACAGCTACCCTTTGCTATATTTTTAGACAAGGTGCTACCTCAAATAATAAACCTCTGAGGATGCCTGCCATAGAACATGACCATACAGCCCGAAAAACCTACAACAACCCAATAAAATATTTCTGTTTTTTGAAACATTTGATTGTTGTTAACAACTTTTTTTCAATTCTTAGCATGATTTTTTTTTTGTTATTCATCATTTGATGTTAAGCACAGGTTTATTGCACAAATCTGTTGTCTGTGGCATGTATTGCTGAAGAAAACTGCTGTGGAAAGAAAAAATAAGTTAACCATAGGGAATTTGCATTCTTTTTAATGTCTGGCCTGCATCATCTGTGAGCTTTCCTGCCATGCAATTCAGAAGCAATGTCTCATTTATATAGATTTTCATTTCTAGAATCCACTGTGTTAGGATATTTTCTTCTGGGAAGCTTGAGGAGCCTTGATGAAGCTCTTATTTATGACTGGTCCCAATCATAACAACCTTAAGATCCATATGACCAATTCCAGGAAACTAGAAGTGATTTGATATCCTACTTTTTAATCTCTGTTCCAGTTCTTCCAATATGATGAATCCTAATATGATGAAAATAAACCTATTCAACATGAATTCCACTCTTATGCTTAAAGATGTGACAACCTGTCATTCTGAATTTCATGTCATTTTTCAGAAACCCACCAATCTTCACATTACATCAAAACACATGCACTTTTGACATGCACATTTCATAACAAGCTTTATATGCATTTGACTGTGGTGTTTCTGCACATTTTCAAAAATGTATTTTGTGTGTTCATATTTTGGATATATGTATAGTTTTGTATGTATGCTTTTCTTCTTCAAGTATTGAAGTATCACAAGTATTGAAAATGGATAGTATGGACATCTCATTTCTAATTTCAATGAGGTGGGAAATCAAGATATTCATAGCAAAATGGAAACCCAACACATTTCTGCAACTACACTCCGACTATACATTTTGATCCTCTTCTACTTTTAGTAAAAAATAAATCAACTTTATTAAAGAAAAATACTGTAGAGCTGTAAAGAAAAATCATATCGAGGAGATTTGTAATACAGCAAGCCGTTTCATTAGCTAAAGCTAAACAAGGTCAGCAGATGTTTCTTCCAGACAATCCAGCAAACAAGTCATAGTGATCCATGGATGCTCTGACATTTTGATTCATCACTAATATCATCAAATGTACAGGGACAGTGACAGTGGCTGAAAAAAAAAGGTGGCACCCAATCAGGTGCATTTTATGAAGATCACTTTTATGCCAGTTGTTTGGAACCATTCTTAAACTAAGGTACAGTACAGCTAATAGCATACAAATATTCTACCCAGCCATAATTTCCTCTAGCTGCACTGCTTCTTGTAGCATTAGAGGTAGATATATTTTGCTTCGGCTTGTTTAGTTTCATCATGGTTTTCTTAAAATTCATGCCCAATAGGCGTTGACATTTGTGTATGGTGTTCTACCTTTCAGAAAAATAAGACCTTCAGAAAAGAGCATTACCACATCAGTGTGCCAGCCCAGTAGCTTGGAGGCATTTTAAAGAAAAGCATGCACTTTCCCCTCCCCCAAATATTCAGGTTAGTATAAATGTAACCGTTATGGTTCCTCTGTATAACATGCTGATATACAGAGATCTAGATGAAAGGAAGATCTGAACTAAAAATTCAGAGCCTCCTTTGATACCTGGTATGCCCAATTTTATCAGTGGAGTGCAATCAAATATAGTGCCATCCATACATGGAAGCACGCTCCCAGGTGCTTATTGTTTGTTACATGTGGGATTGCTTGGTAACTGTCCGCTTTTATGGACAGAGACACAATGGCATATGGTGAAGATGACATCATGGATAGCTAGCTACAGTTCAGTCAACTAATGATCTTTCTCCCTTCGAATGAAAATACCCTTTTTCAGTAGTGTAATGGAACAGGGTTGTTGGGGTTGTAATACATTGGCCTTTTGATTATCAGAGCTAAAGATGTCATCCTTTTGCACCCCCCAGGCTTCTCTTTTTGCTCAGAGCTTAGTTGCAAACTCCATAGTCATTACAGGAAAACCTGAATTCCCAACAAGCCACTCTGATTCCCCTTCTGGGGTGAGATAGAGTAGGGTAGAAATATACAACAGTGTCTTGCAAAGTACTATTGTAATGTTATGTATGTTGGTATAGCTTGGTCTTGAATGGCAATTAAATCGTGTTTAAGGGTGTAATTCTTCATAATTTCATTCCTTAAAGGAGCAATGGATAAGTATTTTCAACGATTATTTACAGTTTGGCAATTATTCTGTGCAAAATTTGCATGTAATTTGTTTGTGTAGAAAAGCTATTATATGCACAGAAAGTAATATTTCTGCACATAAATATTATTGGGGGGGGGAATACTTTCTTGCAGTATCTGAGGATTTGATTTGTTGCAAAATGTGCATATTTTCTGTACACAAAATAGCACTTTCTGCACAGAAATATTGCTTTAGGTGCAGAAAATGCTAATTCTTTTGCTGAAATGCTATTTTCTGCATTAAATTATGTAAATTTTGCAATTAATAAGTCCCCAACTACAGCATTTTCTGCACAGAAAAAAATGACTGGAAACCTGTTGATTCATCCCAACTAGAGCAAAGCCGTTGAAACAATTGCTGGGTGGTGAGTCGATCCATGGGTCCCACTGAGTTAATGGATATATTTTTGTTGGGACTAACAGGATTTCAGCTATTTCTTTGCAATTTTTTTTGTTTCCTGCATATAAAATTTGATTACCTGAAAATTTTGCACTGTTCAATATTCTCCTTATCAAGGTTTATTGATCCTTGAGAAACATGGTTTTAAAAACCATTTTCCAAACAATTTAAAATATTCTAGTCTTATTCTCTTTACAAAATAGCTGCTGATGGTGTAGATGAAAGATGCCAGAACTAGTATGTCAAAGGAAGACAAGTGATTTTTTGGAAAGTATGTGTGCCTGAACAGCCTTTTAGACAGGAGTAATTTTTCCAAACCCTCAGACAGAATTGGAAAACATTATGCAAAATCATCCAATGTTGTGCCTTGGAAAGATTGCAGGTACTTTCCATGTTAAACTAAGTAAACTTTTTAAATGGTTTGCTGAATGATTTCAAGCAGAATTTTCCTTCAGTCTAGCTTTCCTTGCCTTTGTTTTTTGTTCCACTTTGTTTGATGAAGTGTCTGGAGATCTTTTAAACTTTCAGTCTGGAGGGTAAAAAAATAAATCAACATTTTTGGCATCCCTAAGTTATGTATGTATTCCTGAGATTTATATCACAGGTGACAGGCACTGATTTTTCACTCTACAGAGCAGATAAAAAATCACAACCAAAAGGCAGTCGGTTTTCCTGGGTGATTGTGGTTCAGGAGGGGTTTTGCAGTGGTTCAAGCCAATCTGCTCTTTCTTGTGGGATGCAGAATGGCAGTTAGTTTTTTAAAAATTGATGTTTTGTCAGATTCCTCCCCGGCAAGTGTTAAGTGTACCAAAGCGGGCTACACCTCACAGAGCATATTAGACTTATCTCTGATACAAAGCAACAAATACTTGACTATTGTAGAAAATGGCAATATATTCAGGAAAAAGCCTCATGTTGTCAGCAACAATTTTAAAATATTAATTAATTAATCTGCATATTTCTCCCCAGATCACCTGAACCAGAAAACCAACAACAATGAACACCCACCTTAAGGAATCAGAAGCAACAATGTATAAACAAGACTTAGAAAAAACTGCTTTAAAAAGTTTCATCATTTTTTGCATTCTCCAACAAATTGCATTGTTTATTTATTTATATTAACCTCGGAATCATTCTACTCTACTTTTGTGCACAGTTTTATGTCCTTACAATCTTTATACAGCCAACTGTACTGTGATGCTGTCTTTAATAAAGCTCTGCCACACAAATATTCATTTTGAAACTGACATCTTTGTAAAATGGTTGTTTCTCTGGGTCAGTATGACCAGTGATACTATCATCTGCACACATTTCATTTCAGAATATCCATTTGCCCATAGAGTGGGTCAAAAATGAATTAAAGTATATTATACCAGTCAAAAACAATGTGTAAACACAACAGAGTAAAGTGTAAACTACAACGTAGTTCAATAAAACACTTTCCTCCATATATAGATTCCACTAAGCATAACCTTAGTATGAGGATCAACTGTGTCTTCCTGCAGATGCTCTGCAACCAGCAGTCAGAATTGTGTTCATTGAGTGTGGAGGCTGGAATCATGTAGCTTAGAGCATATGATTCTGTGATTCTGTGATTCATATACTTTCATTTTTCATTCATATCCTGTCACCAATTATGGGATTTACTTCTTAACCTGCTGCCTTTTCACCAGATGTGAGGCTCTGTCTGAGATTCTGGGTACATTTATACATGGACACTACAATGCAGCTTGGAATCAGTTTTGGAGAACTGGTTTGGGAGAACCCTTTCTCCCACCTCTACCACCAATGTAAGGACCTCCTACTATCCTACTGCTTTGGCCAGCAAATGTAGGTACCATCTAGGTACTCACAAGAGTACCAATGTGTTACCTGGATGGGCTTCTGTTGTTTGTGCTTGTGATTGTGCCTTTCCCCAATTTACTGTGGCTGCTCCTGTTCAATGCAGTGGATGTGTTAATCTCATATGCTGGTATTTGACAGAAAATTGGTTCATTGGGCTCAGACTTCGTTGATCTATTATTTTTCTTGATGTGGATGATGTACTTGAGGACTCATATTGACTCTGCCCCAGTTTTCTTGTGGCGGCAGCATATATGGATGTACTTGTTAACTAATGTTGGAAAGTGGATGTTTAAGCTGATCTAAATATGGTATACATATCAAAAAGGCTTAACATGATTGTTCCAAGAACAATCTTGTTCTTTCTTCAAGGTAAATGTTGAATTTCTCTTTATACCTTAAAATTTTGTAACTTATATTAAACGACACAACAAGAAATTGGAACTAGATAGCTCTGATCTAAATCTAGAACTTGATTAATTGAACTCTAAATTAGTATATGATAGAGCTTTTACAAAGATGTCATCAGTTCCATTATTATCCTTTGCATAGTTGGAGCCATGATCTGTATGGATCTCTCCCAGGGCTGCATAAAATCTTTATGAACACGAATAAATAGCAAGGATGATAAAGTTTTTAGCTGCCCAGCTTTTCCTAGTTTAATTTCAGCAATCTGAAACTTTGTTTTAAACTTGTTCAGTAAAATACTGAGGTCTTCTTAAAAATATAATTCCCGAATGAAGAAAGACAATGAAGATACAACTATGAATATGTCGACATGTCTCCAGTCTTATACACATAGTTGAATTCATAGTTGAAACATCTGTATAATAATATTTAGCATTGCTTTAGAAGCTTGTGACTCTGTTGCTATTCATTCTTGTCTCTTGATGAAGCTTCTGTGCAGTCTTGGAGAACAACTTAAATTAGGCACATTAAATGTTAAATGTATGATTTGAAAGTGAAAATATGCAATAATTTGAGACAAATAACTTGTATCAACATAATTTGCATGCTTTGTTCCAGTAATTGTTTGCAAAAATATTGGACATGCTCTCCTTCTAACATATGTGGAATTCTATTTAGCTGTGGAATAGAGGGGGATACCAAAGACTTCAACAATTGGTCACTCTACATTACTTTTGTTTTTATCTTCTTTCCTTCTAGTCATCAAACCTCCAATACACCATCCCAAGCAACCAAACTTTGTCTCAACAAGCATCACTTTACCACCCTTCCATAAGAAAACGGAGGATTCTTTAATGAAATACAAACTGCTTGACCAGAGAGGCAGAATGAAGAAGATTCAGCATATTTCTCATCATTGGAATCGGAAATAGATCACCAGTTATTATTAGAAGGCATGTTGAAAGCAAAGTAATAACTGGACAATGAAACAAACAAGTATGTAATATAACAAATGCAATGGGTAAATCCTGTAGACATATTGGCTTCTGACTGACAAATATGCTGGGTGTAGAGTTGCACCAAATCCCACAATCTGGTTCACACAAAAACTGAAAAGGACAAAACCTCTGGATTTGCATTCAGGGCTGTTTGCCAAGCATGATAATTTCATTATGAATTGTATCACAAAAATGTCTCGTCATTCATGACTGAGGAGCCAACGATTTGTAAAGGCAAAGCCTGTGAAAATTATTTTCTTAAAATAATATTATGCCCAGAATTCTCCAAGGAGAATTATCCAGGGAGAATTCTGTGAATTGTAGTTCCAAGTTCTGGGGAAAGGACATTATTTATTTATTTATTTCAATACCACACAACATAAATTGCTGCCTTCAGTTACATGCAATACATAAATAGAGGAGGGAGCAAAAAACAGATACCTTTTCAAATAAGCAGGCCATCACACAATCTTGAATGCATGATCACTGTATTTCATTATATAATAGTCACCACCACATATAAGTCGCACACCCATTTTTGCGGTGCCCAAATTGGTATAAATTGATTTCCTTACATAATAGTCACACTGTCTACCCATGTACCTGCCCCTTGGAACTGGGGAAGCCCCGTAACACCGAGGAGCAGGCATGCAGGTGTGTGTGTGGGAGAGCCAAGGGAGGCCCAGTAGCTCTCACTTACAGGTACATGGGTGGATGATTCACCATGTAATAGTCACCACCACATAATAGTCACAAAAGGAAAAATAGTGTGAGGGCTGAGTTTGGGACTGTGAGTCTGAGTGAAAGAGGGTCTACCCTAGCAAACCTTTTGTATCATTACCCCAATACCCCCATGCATATGGGATATATTGAGTATGGTGATCAGATCATGTTATGAATAAACATAACAGTTTAAATAATGCACCAGTAAGGCCTTTTCGCGAACCACCATGAGAATTTCGGGGGGGGGGGCTGAAGCCCCTCAAGCCCCCCCCGGCTACATGCCTGCCACTATATAATTGTCACAAAAGGAAAAATAGTGTGATATGCAGTGAAATATTTGACCCAAAGGTATTTTTTCATTTGCTATACTACCCAGCTATGACCCCCCATCTATTTTGTCACTTGTCTCCTTTATTTTCCCCAATACTTCTTTCTGCATCATCATTGCATGAAAAGAGTATAAAAGGCAACCAAAGAATAGAACAGTCAAGGGCCTCCTTCTCTAGACCAATCTCATGGAAACATTATACCATAGGGTATAGTTTGCTGATCCTTGCTTGAATCAGTTGTTGAGTGACATGAGACCAAAGAAGTGGAGAAGTCCAGTTCAACATGGATAATAATAAATCATTATGGGGAATTAAATGTGCTACTAGGCTTGACACCAGAGTTGTCATCTTATCAATTGTACTGGACCTACCCACACATGATGAGTGTATGCATTTTTCAATTTAGGAAGACCAAAATTGACAGAAAGCCAAGGCTTCAGTTCATAATTGAAGTTAGAAAGACAATTGTGCTGCAGGATCATCCGCATCTCAGTCTGGTGCACCAAAAAACAAAGACACTCGAAATGATGCTTCATTTCCTAGAAATTAGCAGAATAGCATGTATTGGATGCTTGGAATGATATTCAGAAGCTTATGAAATGAACTCCTTACCAGATTTTGGGGAAAGGTACAAAAATGTGACAGCTATATTTCAGATGAGAAGTGTTGTGTAAGACTCAGGGACAAAATATATTTCGTGCCTAAGCTAGTTGAATATCACACTACAAACAGGCAGAACAGGAATATTTCAGTTAACAATGCCTCAGACAATAAAGTTTCTGTAAAGTCATGTTAAGTTGTAACCCCCCCACCATTATCTGGCTGTCTGAAATGTTATATTTATTTTTAATTAGCATTGGGATTGTGAAAATGGTAAAGGAAGTCTGCAGGAATACAGACTTTTAGTGTCAGATTTCAGCAGCGTATCTGATGTAAAGAGTGCACTAAAACTCGGAAATAATACTGATCCCTTAGTATTCTGTGGGCCTTCCTTAAAAGGCAAGATAAACAACAGCTGCCCCGGACTTCTTTATTGAGTTTATGTGAATAGAAAAACAGAGAGAAAGAGGAAAGCAGAAAAGCCTGCCTCACCAGCTACTCCCAGAATGCTAGAAAATATAAATATATAACTTGCCATCAAAATGGAATCCACGAGAAAAGTGGACGCTGTTGAAAGGAACAAAAATATTCCTGAATAAATTTTGGAAGCTTTCAAACAAAGTCTATAAAATCAACCTGCTTTTGTTTACTTAACCAAAGCATACTTGATCTGCTTGTTGTATTCCACATGTGCATGTTCTTAGGCTTGGATAAAAAGCTTGCTAAAATGTGTTGTGAACGGCTATGCCTTTTGGTGACCTCTGTTCAAGTAATAACCAAGAATGCATTTACGTAATTAATTGAGCCATTCATGTATGTTTTTAATGAAAAATACTGTCCAAATAATCTTTTAAAATTGATTTGAACTGTGCTTTGTCTTCACCTCTGATTCCAGATGTTGCTGATCATCTCTTCCTCATTTGAGGAGGATTTACCTTAATTCTGTGACTAAAGGGAACATATAATTTTGACAACACAAGTCTTGTAAAACATTATTAGAGTATCTGCATAAAAGCTTGTATAAAATATAAAATTTCTTCCAAGTGAGCTTTGTATAAATGTGCATTTGCTTGGATGAGGCCTCCTTTTCCCTACATGTGTCCATATGCCATCACATTTTGGATTTGTAGATGACTATTTAGTAAGTTATTTAATATTTAGGTTTTTGAAAGGCAATGTTCTTAGACACCTATTTAAGCAACCTATTAAGACAGCCAAATTCAGCTATAGAGATAGAACTGTCCACGTTATTTATTCAACACTGACATCTAGTGCTTATAGAGAAATCTGCAAGATGCTGTTTTAGCTTATGTTCCATAACATTCTGGTTCACAGGTCTAAAGGTAAAGGTAAAGGTTTCCCCCTGACATTAAGTCCAGTTGTGTCCAACTCTGGGGGATTTTTTTTTTGGTCGTGTCAGGAGCGACCTGAGAAACTGCAAGTCGCTTCTGGTGTGAGAGAATTGGCTGTCTGCAAGGATGTTGACCAGGGGACACTTGGATGATTTTTTGATGTTTTATCATCCTTATGGGAGACTTCTCTCATGTCCCCGCATGAGGAGCTGGAGCTGATAGAGGGAGCTCATCCGCCTCTCCCCCGATTCGAATCTGTGACCTGTCGGTCTTCAGTCCTGCCGGCACAGGGGTTTAACCCACTGTGCCACCGGGGGATGGTGCTCATCTCCATTTCTAAGCTGAAGAGCCGGCGTGGTCTGTAGACACCTCCAAGGTCATGTGGCCGGCAAGACTGCATGGAGCGTTGTTACCTTTGCGCTGGAGTGGTATATTGATTTCTTCACACTTGCATGTTTTTGAACTGCTAGGTTGGCAGAAGCTGGGGTTAGCAGCAGGAGCGCACACCACTCCCCAGATTTGAACCTGCAACCTTTTGGTCAGCAAGTTCAGCAGCTCAGCTCTTTAACCCACTGCACCACCGGGGACTCCTGGTTCACAGGTCATACATACCTATTTAAAATACTTGGAGATTTACACAGAAGTGTTAAATATCATTGAATTGGAGAGAAAACTGAGTCAGTGTATCGAAGATATAAATGCAATGAAACATTTATCCAAGAAGTTCAGCATAGACCTAATATTCGTGTAAAAATGAATATTACAACTTTCCTTTGAGGTCTTAGTTTAAAATCCATTCCTCTTCACACTATGTTTTTGTGTGATCACTTGTATAGATGCTATGGACTGGTCCTGGAAGGAGCCCAACATATCCAGTTGAACCCATATTTTGCTATATTACTGTCTAGATCAGGGGTCCTCAAACTTTTTAAACAGAGGGCCAGGTCACAGTCCCTCAAACTGTTGGAGCGGATTATAATTTGAAAAAAAAATATGAATGAATTCCTATGCACACTGCACATATCTTATTTGTAGTGCAAAAAACACTTAAAACAATACAATAATTAAAATGAAGAACAATTTTAACAAATATAAACTTATTAGTATTTCAATGGGAAGTGTGGGCCTGCTTTTGGCTGATGAGATAGGATTGTTGTTTTTGTTGTTGTTGTTGTTGTTGTTGTTGTCTGCTTTCAAGTCGTTTCAGACTTAGGTTGACCCTGAGCGAGGGCCAGGTAAATGACCTTGGAGGGCCGTATCTTGCCCTCAGGCCATAGTTTGAGGATCCCTGGTCTAGATAGTCCAGCCAGCCTGAGAGCACATTGACTCATCTGGGTCATCACATCACCCTTTGTGTTATTGCTGCCATTCCCAGCCATCCTGGATGCCCTGTCCTCACATCATCAGAAGTGCCTGAATGACCAGGAAAAAAGGAGGGAGCAAGAAGCTCCATGGGTGGCTGGTCACAATCTATCCATCTTTTCTGTGCTGATGAACCCAAATTGGACCTGATCCTATTGTCCTGACTGGCCCAAAGCAAGCTCTGGAGTATCCCTCGACTTTTCCTAAACCATTGCAAAGTCAGGCCCCATCTACATTGCTATATAATACAGTTTAAAAATGCAGTTTATCTGCATTGAGCTGGATTATATCGCAGTGTAGACTCATATAATCCAGTTCATTCAGTTTTATATGAGTCCACACTGACCATTATAATGCAATTCAAACCACATTTTATATGGCAGTGTAGATGGGGGCTAAGTTTAATGCTGAAAAACCTGTGATACTCACCAGAAGTCATCAAAAGTTGTTGCCAAAAGTGAATTCAGCGTGAGTCGGGATATTCTTGCCTTGGTGGGTAGACTTGACCTTTGAGATATAGCACAATACATTATGTTGTAGCTGAGCCTAGGCCCACTCACAAATTGTGGTTTGTGATGACCTAAACAACTGATATATTAAACTATGGTTTCAAGCTGGCTTGGAAACCACAGTTTGTTCTAACTGTGGTTATATTTCTGAATTCACATACTTTTGACAAAGTATAATTAGAGTTATTTTTCCACCTTCAAGAGGCTGATTAAGAACTTGTGAAACTCGGGTCTGAGCAAATCCTGGAAAATGAAAGTAGCTGATTAACAAGTTCTAAAGAAGGGATCAGAAAATTCAAAAGGGTTTTAGCTATGGTTAGTATAAATTGTGGTTTTATGTGTTGTTTAAGTTGTTCCATTAAATTTCTAAAATAAAGAGCAGTGGAACATTATAGAATATGAGAAGAAAATAAATGAGTATTCAGAGCTTTTGGGGAAGGGTAAAGGATGGGCTTTGGGAAGGTTGGGTGGGATTGGGGGGAAACATGGGTTTTAAAGGTCATTTTAGTGTATTTACTGTATTTTGTTTTGACCACATTGCTACTATTTAATTGTTTTATAACTTTTGTATTGCACCTTTTAAACCTGTCTAGTGTGGACTGTTAGCTGCCGTGAATCCCCAGAGGGAGAAAGGCAGGGCATAAATAATGATGGCGATGGTGGTGATGATGATGATGATGATGATGATGATGATGATGGTGATGATGATACACAATACACCACACAATACACAATACAGCAGACATCACAATTGTGGAAAAGAAAAAAGTTTGGATTATTGATGTCACCATACCAGGTGACAGTTGAATTGACGAAAAAGAACAGGGAAAACTCAGCAGCTGTCAGGACCTCAAAATCAAACTGCAAAAGCTCTGGCGTAAACCAGTACAGGTGATCCCAGTGGTAATTGGCATACTGGGTGCCATGGCAAAAATACTCAGCCGGCATTTGGAAACAATAAACATTGACAAAATTATGATCTGTCAACTGCAAAAGGCCACCTTACTTGGATCTACGCACATCATTCAAAAATACATCACACAGTCCTAGACACTTGGGAAGTGTGCGACTTGTGATTTTGTGATACAAAATCCAGCATATATATCTTGTTTACTGTGACATACTGTGTTTTTGTGTTAGAAAAATAATAATGGATCCTAATGGATTTCTGATGGCTCTTGGGGATTTTCCCCTCCTCTTTGGCAAGTGCTTTGGTCCCTCGCTGGGACAGTGAGATGACCAGGGCAATTGATACAATTGCTCCGGAGTGCTCCCTCTCGAGTAAACGCGCTAAACCTGCTCCTTGGTTTACTGAGGAGTTGGCAGCGATGAAGCGAAAGAAGAGGAGGCTAGAGTGCATGTGGTGCCAAAGGCCCTCCAAATCAGCCCAAACACATCTAGACACCTTTCTAAGGTCCTATGATGTGGCAATAAAGGTGGCACAGAAATCATTTCTTGCTACTAAGATTGCATCTACAAAGAACCGTCTGGCTGAACTATTCTGAGTTGTCAGAGGACTGTTAAACCCACCGAAGAGCGAGATCCCTGATGACTCGGTAGCTCGCTGTGAAGCATTTAGATTGGGTTTGGTTATTTGGGGTGCTGATTCAGAAAATTGTATTGCATAGACTACATCAGCTCTAGTTTCTGATACAGGACATATGCCGTCCAGTAGTTGCCATCTGCTCTGCCCACAGAAAAACATATGTAATAATCTAGAGCTGATGTGGTAGTAGTAATCCTTCATGGGTAGCCAACCTCTTCCCTCCTGACATCCGCTTTGCCTCAGCACTATAAGAGGGTTCGCGAAACCAGTCGTTCTCGTTGTCATGTGGTTTCGAGGCAACAGTGTAGTAATGGAGAGGCCATGGACCATATTTTTGTTCTTGGGAACTACTGGTGGTCCATGGACCACAAGTTGGGAACCACTGGTGTAGAGGCACCTTCAGTTAAGCAGAACTCAAAGAATGGAAACTCTCAAAAAGTCAATGAAATAATGCTTTAAATAAAAAGCATTTATAATTCCGTGAAATGGTAAAACTGTTCCTTTACGTTTGTCTTTATTTGTCTTTATTTCCTTTTAATTGTTATATTTTGATATTAAGTCAATACAGAGTTTATTCTTAATAGTAACTCTCAAGCAACCAAAAACTACATCTACCTGGCACCTACTACCTGCAAGAGATGCTGGTTAACTGAGAGTCCACTGTATGCAAATACAGATATTCCAATTTTTTAAAAAAACAAAATCAGAAACACTTATGGTTTGAAGCATTTGGGATAAAGGGTAGTCATCCAGTAAATTCACAATCCTATAGCTAGAAAAGTAACTTAAGTCAAAATGACCCCTCTAAGCTTCTGTTGTATTGTAATTCTTTCATTGTTATTGAGGTAATGAATGTGTTATAAGCCACTAGTTATTTGTAACTAGCGTTGTAATTATACATAATATTGTGGTCGTGGCATTTCCACCCACACCATGGAGACCAGTGCAGTGAATAAAACAGAACAACAGCACAAAATGTCACCAGGTCATATCATAGCGTTTGACATTTCTGAAAAAAAGTGATCACATACATTCAAGCTTTATGTAGGCACTGAACCTAAAATGATAACCATCCTGATGTTGTTGTACTTTGTACGGCATTGAATGTTTGTCTGTTTCTGTGTGTAAACCACCCTGAGTCCCTTTTGGGAGAGAGGATGGTCTAAAAATAAATTATTATTATTATTATTATTATTATTATTATTATTATTATTAAAACAAAAGCAGTTTTGTCTGCCAAAAAAGTAGGTCAAAGATGATAAAAGAATCATCTATTCAAATAATTCATATTCTTCTGTATACTTATTAGATTATATAGTACATAAAACTACACACTCTACAGACATTTCCCTGCCAGGCAGTCTCTATACAGATGGCACTGCATTTTCTAATTTACAAGTTGCAAAGATGGATTGCACTCATCAAATTCTAATTCTGAGTGCTACATTAAATCTACATTTGATAATCAGGAAAATGCAACAAAATCACTTGTACAAATGAAGATAATAAACTTCATACTACAACTGAAATACTTCGATTAACATAAACAACCATGGACTCATCACTTATTAACAGCATTTTTTCAAAATGAGCAGAAGCTCATTTTGAATAGTCTACAGAGGTGTCTCACTAAGATACAAGAAGTGTGCTAACTCAGTTATAAGCAATACAAATCAAAAACAACATTTGCTACATTGCTCCCATGGTTAGGTGATAACCTGATGATAAGAATGATTCATAACACAGAGTTAGAATTTTTCATACATTCTTATTCCAGGTAATAATCAGTCAAGAATAGTTGTGTGCATAATCATTACTTTATAATTTCTCAAGGAAACAAAACAATTCATAATGAGAAATAATAGGAAATGGTGTAACCATCAATTGAAATAAACCCCAGCTAAAGGGCTGAAGGGAAAGCCATTGCAGCAAATGAACACTAACAAACACAGCAAATGAACACTAACAAACACTAAGGTGTTAGTGATTGAATTAAAGGGGCCATTTGAATGGGAAGAATCTGATACAACACTCATGATTTGGTACTTGCATACAACTCGCAGAAAGACAGGGTAGTGCTGGACTGGTATTAGAAAGTCGGATGGGATGAAGGCTGGTGTAGAAAATGTATTGTAAATTGATCAGAATAAGCAATGGGGTCGAGAGACAGTTAAGCATCATTGAACCAGGGACAGGGGCGGCTCAACCCACTACGCAAAGTAAGCATTCGCAGTATAGTTGATTTTGCCCAGGGGCGCCCTTGAGGCGCTCTTGGGGGAAAATAGACCGTGACATATTCGAGTTGTAGTTACTGGGATGTAGTTCAACTACAATCAAAGAGCATTCTGAACTCCACCAATGATGGAATTGAACCAAATATGGCACACAGAACAGAAATTATGCATCAGTGATTGGTTGGAGGGGGGGGGGGCAAAATACTGTTTGCTTACCATTGAAAATTACCCAGGGCTGCCTCTGGGTGTGATAGACACTGGACCACAGATTGGTCTATAGCAGACTAGAGACAGTGCTAAACTCTAATTCAACTCTATTCCAAAACACTAATGTTTTATTGAGTGCTTGTTGGTTTGTTTGGAGGAGGTGGTGGTGGTAGTGGTTGTGGGGAACCACCAGAGTGCAAAGTATCTATGAGGCCCCATCTACACTGCCATATAATCCAGATTCTGAGTTTAGATTATATGACAGTGTAGACTCGTAATCCAGTTCAAAGCAGATAATCAGGATTCAGAAACTGGATTATATGGCAGTGTAGATTGAACCTGAATTATCCATTGTGAGGTAAGCAAGAACAGGGAGAGGACAAAGGAGTTACAGAGACATACTCAAGCTGAATGTTGCAGAATGTTACAGTATATTCCGATTTTTTTCCAAATATAAAATGACACTCATACAGAACAGTTCCCAACAGCTGTCAAAATAACAGTTGCATTACTCAGCTTCTCATCACAGATTAACTCAAGTTAATTCTTTTCTCCATGCATCAAAAATAGAATGCTCTGAATATAGAATTTTGTAAAGAACTGAATTATTACCCAAATTTTGTTATCATAAGGAATATTTCTCCTGTCTTCCATCTTTAACAGTCCCTCTGAGAAGGTCTCCTTTAGAATGTCTCCATAGCAATGCTATGGCTGTCCAAAAGGGACTCCTCAAGTGTCTTACTGCTGACACTCCATTTCTCTTCCATTTGTCAGCTCGCCCTCTGAGGTAGCTTTTCTATCCATCTATTGCCCTCTTGTGGCTTCATTTGAGCACTGCGTACCTACCAATGTATTTATTTTGGGGGTTCCTAGCCCTGAATGGGGTAGGTGTTTAAAATTTAAACTCCACCAGTATTTTTGAGTTGGATAATGAAGGGCATGGACACCACCTTCGGTGCAGATCCATCAAGACATGTAAGTGTCTTTACGGAACATACATACATACAGCATATTTTATGTTAGGAAGAATTTGGTTTAAAAAAAATCTGTATTTCTGCAAACATACCTCAGCAGGCTTAATATATGTCTCATACATTATATTAGCCTGGATTCTGTTCATTCTCCTTAACTAAAATAAACTCACTGAATCAATAGTTGGATGTAAGATGACACATAGGTAAATCCCACTGACTAAATCTGTCTATTCTAGTGAGAAGCAACAAGATTTAAGACATTGTGTTGTAAAGGCAGCATGGACTATATTTCTGATTTTTTTTAAAAGAAACGGCTTTAGAAATTATTACTACTCAATCATATACAATTATTTACAAAAAAAATGGCAATATGACAACAAGCTAAAAAGGTGAAGTTTCAGCCTCCTTTTCGTCATCTTCAACAATCACAGTCTGCTTCTCTTCTTTTGGTAGTTTAATGCCTTCAACAAGAAAAAGGAGATGCAACAGATGGTTACAAATAAGCTTTTCTTTGGGCCATAAACTGTGTGGCTGCAGTGTTTACATCACATTTTCTTTTTCTTCTTTGATTCATTTTTATTGTAGTATATGATAAATAACAATAACAATAATAACACACAATCTTCAAAATTCAACACTCAAAAAACAAATATTATTCCACCTGTCCTCCCCATTCCCACCTGTGAACTACCACACATGACTTCTGACACCATGGCTGGTAATGCTGACCATCTTTGTAATGATGTTTCTGGTTCTAGAAACTGCACATACAAGAGGTGTTCAGACTATTCAGAGACAAAAAAAATCACTTAAACAACCCTGGGTCTAAGAATTTTTAAAATACGTTTCAATTTCAGAGTGTTTTAGTTTGAATTGAGTAGCATCTGTATGAGTGGGGAGGAAACTGTTATCTGTATTGTGAGCTAAATGGTAGGTGTAATTATGGATGTCTCTATTATTAGGGTGGACAGAAGTGTGTGTAATCCTTATTTTTCCTTCCTAGTGAAAGGTATGAGGTTGAGTGTATATACAAGCCTGAATGAAGTGAAAATGAAGTGGCAGAACAAACAGGATTGTTTCTGGTTGTAATTAGAGTTAGGATTTCTAAAATCTTTCGTTCAAAACCATGTAACACACACATGCACAGTCAGACATCAAAAACAACAATTTCAGCACAGCCCATCATCTGCTGTGGCTTTTTATTTGTGTAGAAATTTAATAATAATAATAGTATAATAACTTTATTTTTCTACCCTGCCTCGATCTCCCCGAAGGGACTCGGGGCGGCTTACATGGGGCCATGTCCAGACAACAATGTGTCTTGTTGGGCATGGTCCCACAAACATTATGCTTTCTATCATTTAGTGGTTCAGCCAGTTCTATCATCTTCTCCACGTGCAGACTTGGGGCCTCATCACTCAACTCAATTATAGCATGATTCCATTTCAAATACCATGCTAAATCCTATGGAATCCTATGGTTTGTGGTTTGGTAAGGCACTGTATCCCTATGGTTAAAAATTCTATGTACCTCTCCCATAATGATAAAACCTGAGATTCCATAGGGTGGAACCATGGCTGTTAAAGTGAAATCATAGTGCCATTACTGTATAGCAGGAGTCCTCAAACTAAGGCCCGGGAGCTGGATGCGGCCCTCCAAGGTCATTTACCCGGCCCTCGCTCAGGATCAACCTAAGTATGAAACTATTTGAATGCACACAATAACAACAACAATCCTATCTCAACAGCCAAAAGCATGCCCACACTTTCCATTGCAATACTAATAAGTTTATATTTGTTAAAATTGTTCTTAATTTTAATTATTGTATTGTTTTTAAATGTTTTTGCACTATAAATAAGATATGTGCAGTGTGCATAGGAATTCATTTGTATTTTTTTTAATTATAATCTGGCCCGCCAACAGTTTGAGGGACTGTGACCTGGCCCTCTGTTTAAAAAGTTTGTGGACCCCTCTATATATGAATGCTAGATAGAAAACAATAATATCCCATAACTGGGATGAAGCTGAAATCCCCCCCCCCCTTTCAAAACTAGGGAAATGAAAAATTGGGATTAATTAATGATTTAATAGAATTACAACAGAAAAATATATAATGGGGAGTGAGAGAAGATGAGAATTTTATTCTATTTGATTTTATTCTATTTGAGTATCTCCTTCTTGGATCTCACTGTATAAAGATACAGCAATGAATGTTAACACCGTTTCTTTCTTTCTTCGGGTTTCTCCGCCCCTCCCCCTCCCCCAAAGGCTGGGTGGCAAAGTGCTGCTATTCTAAAGGGTTTCCCACATTGGCCTAAACTCTAGAAACCTGTCCCAAACCCAAGCCTGTCCCAAACCACATGGTTTGCTCTAGAAGCATCTGTCCTCCCTGTGTCCTGGTTTAACCTCTATGCAACACAGAAAGTATATACAGATATTCTCATAAATATCATCTGGTTTGCTACAGAGACTGAAAGTTGTATCTATGCATTCATAGACCACAATATCACTGTGCCCAACCATAATTTTAAAACCCCATGTTTGGTAAAGTATGAGGAACTTAAGGAGACTGACTTCACAGAATGCAAGGTGGGTGAAATGCCAAACCCATTTATTCAGTCCTTGTAACACTTTCTCAGGAATAAGCTCCATTGAATATAGTGGGACTTACATACAAGAGAACATGAATGGAATTGCATTATACACCAACTTCAATATACCTTACTCAGACCGGACTGCAACCAGAGGACTTTCTGCATGAACTTTTTTCCTTTTTAGAAAAAAAATTCTATATCTATCATGCTTTATTAAATACTGAAGATATAATGGGTTTTCCATTACTGAGGCATGGGGAAACTTATGTTTGTTTATCTCCAGAATTCTGAATTTGACAAAATCTATGAATATTGGTTGATGCTTCTGCATGCAGAACTATGCTATGTGTGGTCATTACCTTACCACTAAGCCATTGCTGAGCTTCCCACAGCACTGCCAAAGGTCATTCCATGATTGGTAGAGGTAAAGGGAATGGGAGAAGCATGTAGCCAGACACAAAATTATTAGATTTGCTACTATCTTCTGGGGGTGGTGACATTTGCTACTGTCTTCTGGGGGTGGTGAGCTGGGGGTGGTGGCAGCCGACAGGGAGCTCTGGCGTGGGCTGGTCCATGAGGTCACGAAGAGTCGGAGACGACTGAACGAATGAACACACACACTGTCTTCTGGAGTTGTAATCACTTTGTTTCTCACTACAGTGACATAGCCAGATATTTCTCTGAACCTCTCTCACTCTAACAAACACTCCGTTAACCGCAGAATAGCTATGTGTGGTGGTGGAGTGGGGCTGCAAGAGTTCAGTGGTAAGTCTGGGGAGGGTTTTTTGTTGTTGTTGTCTCAACAATAATAGCAACAACAACAGACATATGGAGACATAAAGGTGGACTTATGCCACTAACATGATTCTAGTTCTAATGTTCTCATAACTCCCTGGCTCTCCAAAGTTGCTAAACTTTGCTTTACACATTCACATATAGTTTGCATTGTTTTCTTACAGTAATTCAGAATTTACAGTTTGAATTGTTTTCTTACAGTAATTTCTAGAACATGGCCATATAACCCGAAAAATCTACAACAACCCAATTCAGACAATCAAAAAAGAACAGAAAGCTTATCTTGGTCTAGTGATCTGGCATTTTCTTGGTCTGAAAATGCCAGACCATTTTAGCCATGGTTTGGCATTTTGAGGTTTTACAAGGAAAATCATTTGGGCAGACAGTTGCACTCACAGAAGTATCTGTTATATGATACAACAACTGAAGCAACTAGTATTGGTTTGCACAATGTGATACCATCTGTTTCCTTTGAGACACCGCCTTTGACAGCTGCTTTAGAGGAAGAAAATTGGGAGCATATATTGAGCTTCAGTGAAAATAAGAAAATTTATTAAGAGTGCCCATGCAGTCAACACACAAAGGCTGAACAGGATAATAAAAACAAGCAACTGAAAATGCACATAGATTTTTGCTTGCACAGAATAACTACATGGAATTTACTTAGATGAATTAATGTAGGAATGAGATCTTAATTGGTCAAATTTTCTACAAAAAGCTATTTAGTTGTTCCCTTCCTCATATTTCATAAAGTTCTTCAAGGTGGTTAACTAACTATCAAGGACATGTACATACAATTTTAGTTCTTCCCATTTAATTCTTTTTAAAACTTTTAAACTGAAGTAAGGTTTTAGATTAATCTTGTTTAAAATAGCTATAAACTGCCATTGATCCCATCTTGGAGAAAGGTGGGATGTAATTCAAATAATGATCCACACTGAGGACTTAATATTTTGAGGTAAACATATGGTTAGGTAAAGGCTTTAATTCATGTTGTGGTTCTGGTTCTGGTGTACAACATCAGGAGCAATTTACATTTTGACAAGCTTCTCAAGATATGACTGCAAAATCATGTTAGGAGTGTGAAATCACTCATAAGGTGAATCATTTGGCCATAAAAAATCAGCCTATCTGGGACTTGAAAGACATGGACAAGCTAACTTATTATTTGAAAGACAGTACAGGAGTACCTATGAAAAGAACAGAAACAGTTTGAAGATTTTATGAGTGCCTATAAAAACAAGGAAGAACCAGGGTCTTACTAGAAGATTAGCAGGACAAAATAAAATCAAAATTTATCTTAACAAACATTAAGGAAAAAAATTAACAGGAAGAGGAGACGCAATTAGAAATGAAGAAACAAATAAAGAGAAGGAAAGGATAAGAACGTCAGAAGGAAGATTGGGAAGTCAACATCCCCCCCTTTCACACCACCCTTGTCTCTACACAACCCTTAATCCACCCCCTCTTTCTTCTTCTTCTTCTTCTTCCTTCCCTCCCTCTTCTTTTTTCCCTTCCTCCCCTCATCTCCATACCCATACCCAACACTTTTCCCTCTTATATGGAAACTTCAATGAAGAACTATTTTTTTAAAAAATCAGCCTATTTGCAACAACCACAATAACCTATGTGACTACAAAGGTCACGTTGTTATTCATAGCTAGAGTGGCAGAGGAAATGCTGGGACTTGTGTACCCCAGAGGGGTTATCATAACTGATACTGACCCTTCAAAATGTCTTTGGAATATTGTTAATCATCTCAAAATTTGAATAGAAGGACTTGATCTGACAGCCATAGCTGCTGCTATCTTATTTTTCTCTGATGCTTTGTGCTGTAGTCTCAGCACACATATTGAGTATTCCCAATGCACTAAAAGGAAGTGAAGCCAAAAGGCACTAGGCAAAAAAAAAGATTATGGTGACAGTGACTTTCACTGCTTCACCCAGCACTTCTCTCTACAGTGTCACTCATTCCATCTTATACTTTCCTCAATCCTCACCTCTTAGGAACCTGTGTGGGGCAATGCCAGAAGGCATAGCTTGTACCTTGTCCAGGTGTAAGAAAAAGTGTTGCTGGTCCTTATATTAAAAAAAAACTAGTAGAATTACAATCTCTTTCCTCAGTTCCTCCTCTCTTTCCTTTTGCTTTCCCTCTTGCCATGATTTTCTTTATCAAAAGTTTGACGCTCCCTCTGCCACACTCTTTAAGGGGCAAGCATGGAGGTAGCCCTCTGTGCACATTGAAGGACAAAGCCTCACGTGTTGGATAAAATAAGGCCACAACTTCATTGATTACAGTTTAATTGGTTGGCACATTACATGGGTTGAGGGTCTTATCAAATTACACATCTGGAATACCGGCATGAATGTGAACTTAAACATGATCCTGTGACAGCTGCTGGGCTTGTCACACAGTTATAAAATAAATAACGATGGGCCCGTAGCCAATGCTTACAGCATCGGGGTTCCCCAACCTGGTTACATCTTTGATTGCCTAATATATCGCGTTTGCTGTCCCCTCAAATGAACCAATGAGATCCCAAGAACCCTTTGGTTTCCATTGGGTGTAATGCCCATGTGACTTCCCATGTAATCTCCTTCCAGCTGCAAAAGATCACTGGGGCACCATGTCCTCAGCCTGGTCCTACCCCACCATTCTGGGAACAAAGGTGCCTGTCAATACTGTTACTGTCATTCCTTTCTGTATTCTCTTATCAGTCAGCAAGAGTTCTTCTCTATTCCTCTTGGATTTTTCTGGCCTCTACAGATGGAAGCAGGACATACTTATCTAGAGATCCAGTGAAGTAATGATTCCCAGGTGTGCTGCAGCCTTGTCTTTAGAGAAGATTAGAGAAACCTAATGTTTAAGTTGGGGCTGCAAGCAGTTTTATTAACTCTCATTAATTCAGTTAAAAACCAAAACACTCTGTGATACACACTGCAAGATTCCCTTTGGCACCCAAAGCAAGTTTCAAGTAACTGTGCAATTTATGCTTTTTGGAATTATTGGAGACTGACAGACATAGTGACTCAGAAATGTGCTCTCACTGTAGATATGTCATATGTGAGAAATCAATGAATAAAATGTATCTGCTTAAAAGAAAATGGCAATAATTCAGCAAACTCCATGCAAACTGTGGGCAGTACTTGCCATTCATAATCAATGAGGACAATGTCCTGTGTGTTTAGGAGACTGTTTTATTGAATCTTGTCAATGAATACAATTTTACTGTGTGTGTGTGTGTGTCTTCAAGTCACCTGTTAACTTATGGTGACCACATGAATTTCACAGGTTTTCTTAAGTAAGGAATACTCAATGGTGGTTTTGCACAGAACACAGAAAATATATATCTTAGTAACATTTTGAACTTTTTTTCTGCTTCTAAGCACTTCAATTTAGTTTAGAAATATGTTCATGATTTCCAAACCTATAACTTGTTTGTAAGGAAGTGTAACATCAGATGGAGTCAGTTGAAGTTCTTGTTTACGGTTTCCTTACCTGCAAGAAGGGGTGGTGTATTTATTGCAGGGGTGTTTTTCCTTCTGGGTTTTTTCTGTTCCTGTTCTGCATTTTGACATGCTAGAGTGATATGACCCCTTAGTGGTTTCTGAGAGAGATCAAACCTTCTAATTAAGTGGTCTGAAAGAATACCTACAGAAATGACATATGAAAAGGTAATTAGATTTTGTAAAATATTCTGACCGTAAGATGATGCAAGAGATGCATGAGTGACACACAAATTATAAAAATAAAGAAGCTAGTAAAATGTGGTTTAGATGATGCTACTGTTAGGTGGAGTGGGAATTGGTCAACTAGCTGAACGCAAATGGTGCTTACCAATGGTTCCTCTTCATCCTGTAGAGGAGTGACCAGTGGGTGCCACAGGGTTCAGTCCAGGGCCCAGTGATATTCCACATCTTTTAAATATTGTGTTTAGACTTGGGTCCAATTTCCAAGATATCTCTTTCTGGATATTCCAGAAAAATACCCCAAATTCCAAACATTTCTTGTACCAAGCATTTTGGATAAGGGATACTCAACAACATTTTATTATTATCCAAATACCCCTTTTCTCCATGGGTGTACAAGGTGTACAAGGTTAATAACATTAACAACAGCTGACTGATTAGACACATAGTTGGATAAAATTTACAACAGTTAAAACTGCTTAGAATACAGGATTAAAACTGCTTGATGCTGTACATGATGGTTAAAAACATAAGTTAAAAACTACAAAGGGACCGGCATGTTTCAGCCTGTGTCTAAAATTGGGAATTGTCTAATCCTGGCTGCCATGGAAAGAAGCTTGGCAACTGCCAAGGTCACGTGGGGAAGATTGTCACCAAGTAGAAACTTCACATAAATTTTCACTGAACTAGCCGTTAAGTTACTCAATAGGGGATTTATTATGTGTGCTTCGGCCTGTTCATAGAAACTGCATGAGAGTAGAATATGGTGCATGAATTCTACTTTCTCATTGTTACATGGGCAGAGACTTTCTTTATGTGGGATACCTGCAAATTTCCCACGCAGCAGATCAGACAGGAGCACTTTGCATCTTTCTTTGGAAAATAGACAGTGGTATTTGGCCACAGACAAGTTCTTTAAGTAGTTTGCTGTGTGGAAAGTCCTGACATAGTGTATGGACAGAGCACTTGGGGAGCAAGATACATACGAACAAGAACACAGCTCACAAAAGGCAGTGTCTTACAGTCTCTGTTTGATTGTTTTGAGAGCCATATCAAAGTCCAGATGACTTAAGAGGGATTCAGAAAGGCCAGTGGAAAAGGCTTTCTTAGAATTGATCTTACACCAACTACTTAGGTACTCATCCTGAGCTAAGTCAGGAATTAGACCAGATCCTAGACTGAAAACTCTGGTCTTTGGCCCAAGCACACATAATCAATCTCATACTGAGAAACTTGCTGGATACTCAACCTGTAGTTCCATATGCAGTAGTTAATGTGACCCAAATCAGTACTGCTCACCTGCTATTGGAGGCGGGGTATTTATTGCTGGGGTATCCTTCCTCTTTGGTTTCTTTGGATCCAACTCACTTTTTGGAGACTCTTGCAGAGTTTCCCCTTTTCTTGGTAACTTTTTAAGTTCACAGCCCTTTAGCAACTGTTCAGAAAGATCATCTGCAGTTAAAAAAACCCATAGAATTTATCAAAACAATTATGTACAATTCAAACTTCGGTTGTAACTGTTTAACAAATTGGCCCTCCCTGAAAAAAAAACAAACCCCAGCTTAGCCTTCCTCAGCCTGGGCATTAATTCTTAGTGATCTGCTCTGTCTCCAATTCCAGTTGAATTAAGATATTTTGTCCTTCCCTTATACTACAGCTCTGTGTAGCATTGCCAACATATTCCAGAAGGTCCCCAAGTCCTTTGGAACATGTTATGAAGATGAACAAAATGCTGCCAAAAAGGGGGTGTTGATCTTAAAAGGTTCATGGAAAGCAAGACAATTGGCTCCCTACCCTTGTGTCCTCTAGATGTGTTGAACTATAACTCCATTGATTCCTCATTGGCTAGAGATGTTGGAAGTTATCTCTACAGAAAATGCAAAAATGTGTTTCTTAAGTGTCAGAAAAGTTGTCTGAGGACAATTGTAGATAGGTGAGCTTCTTTCCAGTTCAGAATTATGTATATAATACTAATTGCTTCTAGTTTGTTCGCTTCCTGCACATTTTTTAAAAAATTCATATATTTGCTCAGAAAATTCACTTTTCTGCCCAGGAAATGTTTTGTGTTGTTAACAACCATCAAGTGGTCCTCAACATGCGTTATTTTGCACACAATCATTCCTGATCTGAGAATAGTCTTTGAAAAGTTACAGTAGTCAACAACTTCCTCACAGTTAGGAGAAAAACTGCAAAACTATTCATTCTCATCTGCAAGAATAAAATTCACAAACATTTCCATCTCCTAGTTATTACCAAAAAGATGTGGAAGGAATTAACTTGAAAAAGACTGATATAATGTAATGTAATTTTAGTTCAATTATAATAAAGTATTAATAAGAACACCCAAGAAGTTCCAGCAAGTAAGTTAATTCAGATCACAAGAAAATGTATGTGGGTGTTCATGTTTCAGAATTCTTATTTTACTTCAGATTTATGACTTTACCAAACCAGACACTGACATTTATTGAATGTACTCTTATGTTTGTGTCTGGTTCTGTAAAACCAGAGCTCTTTATAAAGTTGAGGTAAAATAAGGATTCCAAAATATGAATAATCATGAGGTTTGAAGAGCACATAGCTAGCAAAGTTCAAATACCTTTTGATAAAATGGAAGGAGAGGTGCTCCTGCTCTCTTTGGCAATGTTTTCAAATGGTGAAAAAGGAAAGTGTTTCAGGGTAAAAGTTCAAAAGACAATACATATGTATGTGCCTTCATGTTTCCTATTAATGAAAGATGATTCTAGGAATTTCATTGAGTTTTTTTTAGGCAAGGATAACTCAGAAGTGGGGTTTTCCAGTTACTTTCTCTGAAATATAGCATACTGCATATTCATTGGCAATATTAATTTGTTTGTATTTTGTATAACCTGTGGTTTGGTTTTAGGGACCCTCCTGGATGGATACCAATATACATGCTCAAATCCCATGGTATCCAGTTGTATAGTAAAATGGTATAACCTTATATAAAATGACAAAATTGGGGTTTGCTTTCGGGAGTTTTTGGGGTTGTATGTAGGAGGGAATGTTTTCTATTAGTTAATGGTTGAATCTGTGGATGCAGAATCTATGACTATAAAAACATGTTTGGAAAATTTGCATTTGTGACCATGTAAAGAGTGCAAAGAAGAAATCTTTTGTTTCCCTTCCCTTGTACTTCATCCTGTTTATTAAGCACTTTCCCCCAAGAGCTTGAGGCAATATTTATATGTTTCCCAGCAAGAGGAAGAGAGAGAGAGAGAGAAGGAGAGGGAAAGGGAGGGAGAAAGACCCAGACCCTGTCATTGCTTCTCCATCTGTCATCCTTTGTATCACCAGAAGGCACAGTCTATCAGGTTTCATTGGAAACAGTTGTTCGGCAGGGGAGATGAGGGAGGGGGAAAACAATGGACAGTGCTTATTGCTGGCAAGAAGCCATTTTCTCCAATCTGACATCACCACCACGAGACTGACCTATGTGGTTACAGTGAGTATCTCGGCCATCCACTCTGTCTTCTGAGATATCATGTGATGCCTGCATATATTCCGTAGACATCTCAGGATTTTCTCCAGGAACTAAAAGAAACAAAATAATACAACTAGTATAGAGGGATCTAGTGTATATGTGACAATCTCTTTTCTTCATTGATACAGTAAACATTTGTGTCCCTCAACACCCCAGATATAATTCTTGAGATATATTCCTTCCTTTTTTATGACCATAAAAATAATTTTGCATTTAAAAAAATCTCTTTTAGTCACCCCGTAATGATGACAATATAAGGAATGTTTCAGTTTTGTATAGAATGCTTTGGCAGTTGAAAGGAATGTCTCAGGAGGAACCACTAACACTTTCAGGCATTTCAAGACATATTCTGAGTTGTGGGGCACAACTTGTGGCCCCATAAACTAAATGCAGTCAGTCAGTCACATTTTATGGTTTATCAGGTTTTTGGTAAGGTTACTGTTTGCAGGCCAAAGCAGGCATGGGTTGCCTGGGATATTTTACTGCCTTAGACACATGCCACTCATCACCCTCCCATCAAGGTACATCAAGCTAACCAAGTTATTTTGGCACATGAAGCAGACTATCCCACAAGCATCTCTCTCTCCACCCACCCCCAGCATTTTATTTAATAACAAATTAAATAGCTAACAATTTGTTTTAGGACACTCGAAGTCTGGCGCCTGTGAGATGTCTGCCTCACTCTGGCTACAACTAGCCGCATAAGTATACTGCAAAACAAGAGGCTAATCTAGTCCATTGCTTCTTAGACCAAAGGTTCTGGCCCTGAATGGGATCCCCTTAGCTTAACATTGAGGTCATGAAAAAATTGGCAAAATTAAAAAGTTTCTGAAATTAAAACGTTGCAACAACATGTAGTGTTTGTAATGGGCTCTGCAGAAAATGCTTTAGCTGTACTCCACGAAAAGGAAAATCAGCAAATGTTTGATATTTACACCTATTTTATTTACCTGGGGTCACATAAAATTTTCTCAGACAGAAAGGGGTCGGAAGTAGAAAAAAATTAGGAAAACCTGATCTAATCCGCTGCTGGTTCTACTATGAGTCAAATAGCCAGATAGCAGATATATATGGGTCAGTGCAGCAGCCTCCTGGCCATTTCCCACTGCTGGAGGATAGAGTTTGTATACTATGGAGTCTTGTGAGTCTGCTACACTTCCATATCATAGAAGATATGATGGAATGTTGAAGTGATGTTCAATCCCATTGGCTTAAGTTCATGTAATAATAATGATTATCACATTAACTTAATGAACTTACTGTGTGTAATAACGATTACTATGTGAACTTAATCAAATAGGACTGGCAGCTGAACATCACCTAATAATAACTCCCTCATGCAACGGAGTGTGTGGGCCAGTATTGATCAAGACCCTATTGGGATCCCATTCAGACCAGCTATGGGTGGACTATATTTGGCTTAGCTGCTCCCAGACATTCAGACCATTTACAATTTTGTTTTACTTCCTTGTCTTTTTCTTTACTATAGTAAGCTTCTAAACGTCCAACAATTCACTATATAAGTGTTTTTTTGTTCTTCTTGTTTACTATAAAAATAAACAAATACTGAACATTTGAAGACTATCAATCAGTGAGTGATTTGTCCTTCCCTTGAGGACTGTATACTTGTGGCCAGCTTTGGAGTTGCTTTTTTTTTTTTTCCTGGGATGGCCTCCCTGAATGGATAAATGGGTGAGATTGTGGATATTTCCACCTGTTGTTGGCTAGCATGCTGTTAATGGCATATCTGAGTGTAATGGGAAATATTGAATTCCTTTGATGATTGCAGAGAGAAGTATTTATTACCTTTTCATGCAACAAGCCAGACCACCATAGAAATGACCTTCTTTCTGTGCCCACCCTATCTAGCCATTTAATGGCTAGTAGAGAGCAGTGGGTATTTGAGAAGTGCCTAGCTATGTCCCAATGGCCATGTACATGATGACAAAGGCATCCTCCTGGAGCTCTAACAGATCTGCCAAAGGTCCTGGTGGTTCATGTTATGTCCTGATGTAAGCTCTTGTCTATTTGTTCTGTAATTTTGTGTGAATATGCGTGTAAGTTTTGGGTTCTATGGCAGATCTGTGTCCTCTATTTCCCTTCTTGGCAAGAACCTTGAGCAATTCCCTAAATCATGTAAAGTTTCCTATGAATCATTTTTCACTATCGTCAGTATTCTCTCCTTTGGAGAAGATTAGAAAAAGCCACAGCTGAGATTTTGTGGACTTCTTCCCCCTGATATAATCTAATATTTATTACACTATTTTTAGAATGTGTAAATAATTAACTAAACAATTGCTAATAGTGTGATAAGAGTTTTATCTGGTAGTACATTAATGCAAAGTCCAACAGATCAAAAGGTATTAGTTTTACTAATCAACTATTTGATAACCTTTTTCAAAATGAAATGAAATGAAATACAGTATGTCAGACTTAACATCCTTCATCACATATAGTTTAGAATCACTATGTGCCTAAACCTAGATAGAGAAGAGATGCTTAGGAAATGACTGAAAAGGAAAGGGTCTGTTTCTCCTCTTGGCGATTTATCATCTAGAACTGTGCTTCTTATACTACTTGATGTAGGGAACTGGCAAGGTTTCCCAACCCTAATGTACCAGGGAGCCACATTATATTTCTACCTGTTGATTATAATTGTTTCTTCCTTCCTTGGAAGTGCACCATGCACCATAGCCAATAGTTTGCATGCTGATAGTAGTTCATGGACCACCAGTTTGAGAAGAGCACAGTTGATCATAAAGTCAATTGGAGCTGGAAGGTATGTCTTGGCATGTTCCAGTGTATATCAGCATGGTTTTTAAAATTCATCATCATTTAACAAAATGACCTCTTTCTCAAAATCTTGGAATGTGAAGTGAAATAACCAAGAGTGGATTTTTATGTGGCAGGACTGTGAGTGCTGCTTAGTTCTGGTGCTCAGAACAAATTTATCGGGTCAGCTTTTTAAAAGTTTTTTAAAAGTTCTAAATGGTATTTTTTTTTATTTTTGCCTGGTTCCAATTGATGGGTTCTAATAAAACTAAACAGAATATGTCCAGAGAAGGGCTATGGCAAATGGTCTGGAAGTCAAGCCCCATGAGGAGCATCTTAGGGAGCTGATGATGGACCTCATCACATTGAGAGGGGAAAGCATGGGTGACTGTCCTTTTAGCATAGAGAATCACCCCTCTTATTTCATCTGCCTCCCCATCACACTCACATGTGGATCTGGCAATACATTCATCTTACATTCATCACATGGTCAGTATTACTTTTTTTAAAAAATCAGGAGAAACAACAATATCTACAACAACAATACATGTAGCCCACCCACTGTCACTGTGCCTGTGTCTATTGTAATTTTTACATTGTTATGTATTCACATGTGTTACGTAATTATGATGTTATTATTTATGTTCGCGTTTTCGGTTGTGTCTTGGTTTTTCTTTATTGTAATTGTTGTTCGGGCTTGGCCTCATGTAAGCTGCTCCAAGTCCCCATTGGGGAGATGGTGGCGGGGTATAAATAAAGATTATTATTATTATTATTATTATTATTATTATTATTATTATTATCTGAAACTAAGACATTGTTTGTCCTGGCAAAAGACCCTTACGTTGAAGGAGACTGACACAGTTTAAAATCACTTCTTTCCATGGGATAAAGTTGTTATGCCCCAAACCCCATATGATACAAGAGACAGTGATCCAGGTTAAAACCGTTTCCCATGGGATCATACTGTTCTGCATCAATCCCCATATGATACAAGAGACAGGATACAGGTTAAACCCATTTCTTTCCATGGGATCATGTTGTTCTGCATCAAAGCCCATATGATACAAGATACAGTGATCAAGGTTAAACAATTTCTTTCAATGGGATCATATTGTTCTGCATCAAACCCCATATGATATGAGAAACAGTGAACCAGGTTAAAATCATTTCTTTCAATAGGATCATATTGTTCTGCATCAAACCACATATGACACAAGAGACTGCTGATGGTTGGGCAGTGAAAAAGGATGGGAAACTTTGATGGTTCCCGTCTCACCTGTTTTTCAGTTGTAAATGTGGGAGTAAAGTGCAATAAGAAGTAGGAGCTCTAAAGACGATTGCTAGCCCATGTCCAGAGTTCCTTCCTTTCAAGACACTTCTGAATAAGCTCCATGCCTCTCCATGCTTGAAAAGAGGCTGAAGCATCATTACCTGTACCTTGAATTTGGCTTGGCAACTTATCGGCAGCCAATGAAGCTGTTTTAATAGGGGTGGTGTATGCGCCCTATAGTTTGCTCCAGTAAGGAGCCTGGCTGCCGCCCGTTGTACCAGTTGTAATTTTCGGGCCATGTTCAAGGGCAGCCCCACATAGAGCGCATTGCAATAGTCCAATCTGGATGTAACCAAGGCGTGGACCACCTTGGCCAAAAGAGAGTTCATGAGATATGGTAGCAAAAAAAAGTTGGGAACCACTGTTGTAAATGATGCTTAGCCTTGAAAAGAGCCAAATTATATTCAAAGAGAAGACAAACATAACTTTTTGTAGAAGATATAAGAAATGGCAAGAGTGGACTTTTTAAGAATTCTAATTCAACACATCTGGAGTTGTGATGGAGTATTAGGCTATGACTTGACACACTTAGTTTCAAATCCCCACTTAGTGCTGAAGTTCATCCAAGGACATTGGGTCAGATGTTTATTCTAAATTTAACCAACGTCTTGGAGCTGTTGAAAATATATGCATGTGCCTGCATGTGTTTGTAACAGTTCTTTAAATGAAATAATGAAATAATAAATATAAAAATAGTAAAATAAATATATTCCTTTCTTATTTTAAACCAGACATGTTTTCTCTCCTCTCTCCTGCTCTGCTCTCCTTTCTTTAGATCAGTTGTTTCACAGCAAAAGTGGATGGTTCGTAAGAATGACTGGCTTTTGCTTAACTCGTAATCAAGAAATCTCAGCCCCCCCCCCACCACCCACCATTTTTTTCACTTACAAAAAATAAGGTTCCTTGAACTATTAACATGACAAACGATCAGATAAATGTACATGCAATTGATTTGCTGGTATGCACACCTGTCGTTTCATTTACAAAACCAGGGGGGAGCTGAGTTCATATTGCAGCTGAAGAACCTGCTGTGAGTTCACTTTCCCAACCATGTCTCTCTTTCTCTTCCTTCATTTTTAATGACTTTAATGGTTTGCATCACATATTGAGCATCTCACTGGAATGGGATGCATCTGGATATCTGCAGTGATCTGACTAAAAGTGGGCACCTTCTCTCTTTGACATAGAAAGGGAGAGTTAAACTGTGTTATATTCATCTACCAGAGTGTATTCTTAATAGTCTCTGGTCTGCTGCTGCAAAACAAAATTATTATAGACCTTACCCTTAATGACTAATATAAAAATTAGTAATATGATCAAGGCAAACCCTGTGCATAAGTGGGGAATATTTTTTTCCTGGGGTTTTGATGCACAGTTGCTCAGTAAATGACAGCCATGCATATTTTATAGAGTTCATGGCCTGTGGTACATATGCACATGCTTTAATCTAAGCTGTAAGATTACAGCTTTCTGGAAGGAAAGAGAATCAGAGTCTTAATGGCACGAGGCAAAAATAATTGTGGTCATGTTTCAACAAAGAAGTTAGTAATGCCTGCTTTTGGCCCCCTCTACACTACCACATAAAATGCAGATTATCTGCTTTGAACTGGATCATATGGCAGTGTAGACTTATATAATTCAGTTCAAAGCAGATAATGTGGATTATCTGTTTTGATTATCTGGATTATATGGCAGAGTAGAAGGGTCCTTTCTATTATTGTTATTATTATTATTATTAACTTTATTTATACCTCGCAAAATCTCCCGAAGGACTCGATGCGGCTTACAAAGGCCAAGGCCACCAACAAAACAACAGCATACAAATACAACAGTAAAACTCATAAAGCAAATAATAAAACATCAAGCAAAACAATAAAACAATAAAACCATGACGCATTTAAAAACCTAAGGCCGGGCCAAATGTAATGGACAAAATTTTTAAAGTGCTGGACTTGACAGGTGATATGTAGAGGTTTTTGGAGGTAGGTGCAATGTGCAGACAATCATCAGAAACATGTGTTTTCTGACTGTCCTTGGTGACCCCTCTAAAACCCTCCTCATGACCCCCCCCCCCTCCAGGGGTCCCCACCCCTAAGTTGAGAAACACTGCTTTAGCTAATGCATGCATCTGAGTACTAAAAATACACCAACTTCTGCCTTATAGGATAAAGGTGAGACTAGAAGGAAAAAAGAAGGTTGTCGTTGGCCAAGACAGAAAGATATGAGTCTTAAAGTCAATCTTCTGAAGTTCCTTAGAATGCCCTTCTAAAGGGCTTCACATCCAAGCAAACATGACATTGTTACTAAGTGTTTTCACAGAATTCATGCTGTAGTAACTCTTATTCGCCAGCAGCTTATAATATTGTGAACAGTTCTGCCCTCAGTAGCCCGAGGTTAGGGAATTTTAATGATATTTGTTGTAAACTATTTATTTGTTGTATATGGTGTAGACAAATTGGGTTATTTGCTTTAAATTGGCTTGCAAAGTTTTTTAGTTGAATATTTATCGTATATATGTATGTGTTTTATGTATTTGTGTTTTAAAACCATTGTAGGCCACTTTGAGTCCCACCCATGGGAGAAAATCAGGATAAAAATGAATATAATAATAATATAATATAATATAATATAATATAATATAATAATATAAATATGTCAAAGGGATCCTAGATTAGCCAGGCCACTTGTGCCCCAACCCTGGATAGGAATATTGTCTATTTTAGGAGATGATTTTCCCTGCATATTTGTTTAGAAGATAACAGAAAAAGTTATATCCTCTTCTGCCTGTCCACACTGATACAATATTTACCTATAGGTTGAAAGAAATGCTTCCCTGACACCAATGGAACTTCCTCCTTAATTTAAGCACTAGCAATGATTTCCGAAGGATGAATGGGGCAGGTCATGGAAAGTACAAACACATTCTAACATCAGAATCCATGAAAAGGAAATAGCTGGTTTTTACACTTTACCTGATATTGTTGCAATAACTCTTCCAGCATAAAACCTAGAAGCTTTAAAAGCATAGAAGGCAGTCATTTTCAATTATCTCTCTTAAAATTTAAGAAATCTTAAAACTTTACAAGCACTCCCACACACCCACAGGCAATCTGAAGAAAAAAAGGCATATGAATTGAACATCATTTTAAAAAGGGATCTATGAACCAAATCAAACCAATTTGAGACACAAGAAAAGAACTACATATTATTGCAACCATTCTGCTAAAAAAATTCTAAACAAAAGCTTTTATATATGGAAATGGTGGTAAATGGTTTTCAAAACTTTTGGTGGCTGTTAACCAGAAATTCTTAAAATGTTGAGGGATTTAACCAAATGAATAGAAAACAGAAACCCAGTGTGCAACACACATATGCATAAATACGTTTTTTTAATTTATTTACTATACTTGTATACCACCTCAGCCTATCGGCGACTCAAGGCTGCTTGAGATTCCAAGATAAATATGTAAAATTTACATGTAATTGGGTGGTGGATCAAACTTCCCTACTTCTAGGACCAAAAAGAGTGTTCACACACACACACACAAGATGATTGCTACTGCACCTCTAAAGAGAAATGCTATGTGTGAACACATACATGTTTCCAGCCTGTGAGTCTATCCTAATTTGGTGTCTATGACTTTATTACATTTTGCGATGTAGTGCACCACTTTGAGTGGATTTGTTTTAAAATGCGGCTTACAAGTTTTGTAAATAAGTAGGCGAAATCTCTTAAACTCTCGGGAATTTCCTTCCAAGTAAATGTGTATGGGAATAGACAGATAAGTGTGATTGGACAGTGGAGTCCAAACATTCTTGGAAATCTTTTCCATTTCAGTGGTTGAGATTGAATTGCATTTCAGTACATTGAAGGCGGAACTGGCATTGAATATTTGCCTGTCTCTATATGTAAACTGTCCTGAGTCCCTTTCGGGAGAGGGTGGTCTAGAAATAAAGTATTATTATTATGATATTATAATATATTATATTATTATAGTATTATTATTATTATTATTATTATTATTATTTAATTGGTCAATTAAAAAAACTAGAATACTTAGCACTAGGAAGGGATACAAATCAAGCAGTAAATATAACCATCAAGCAATCTATATTATCTATAATACACACTTCTCAATTTGCTACTTCAACTTATCTCTCAGTTCACCACTTTCAACTCAGTACCTAACTTTTCCCTGATAGAATCAGTCTGCTTGAAAGCTGTCTGAATGAAGAACTGATCTGTGACCTTTATTACTATCACATCGCAGGCAGAAATTTGTCTGATTTCCATAGGCAAAAAACACCACACTCCCTCCCCTGGCAACAGTGCTGAAGAACTTACCAACTAGTGGAGCTGGAAGAGGTGCGATATGGAGTCAGTGTTCACCGGAGCAAGAACTTTCTCCTCTGCTGGCAGTGAATGCTCCTGCACGCCTTATCTAGGGAGCAGCAGTAGCAAGCAGTTGCTATGACAATGCTTTGTTTCCCAAGTACCCCAGGAAGGGAAAGAAGAGTAACCTTTAGCCTGTGCACTAGCAGCATATACTGATGTTGTACTTGCTGCTTTTCCAATTGTGCCTGAAAGAGGAGGAGAACAAGACACCAAACAAGATGCTAACAGAAAATGTACAGCTTAAAAGATCATCTTCCACAGATAATGGTCGAGATACCACTTAAAGAACAGGGAAAATGAAGGAATGTTATCTGGACAGACTCCACACCAGTTTAAAGTTTTCCCAAATAAAAATCTAAATATTGGAGCCCTGCTAGATTTGACATATCTCTTCCCAAAGGCAAGCAAGCTAGACCATTGCTGAGCAAGAAACAGTGATGGGAGAGGCAAGGAATTGATTTGGATGCAACACATAAACATTCAGAGCAAGGTACGGTGTGTCTAGCAATAAGGCTTAGCTGACGACGGTGGTGGTTGTGTGTGTTTATGGGTTGGTTTGTTACACACTGGTGCCATTTAGGGACACAAGTGGGGAGTCTTCTGTGGCCATGGTGTACATGCCAACAGTGACCAGCATTTGCTATTTCAGCCTTTTGCTTTGGATAGAGGTTTTGTATGAAATGGGGAAAGATATACAAACATGTTGGGTCTGGAAAGCAACAGGAAACTTTCTGCACAGTTGGCAGCATAATGAATCAAAGCCCTTTAACTATTCACATGAGAAGGGTGATTAACCCGGGCCATTTCCTTTCAAAATTTTAGCAGTGCCAGATTTGCTGACAACTCATTCTTCTTATTTCTATGCTCTGTCTGTTTAGTGGCCAGCCACTCCCTCTCCCAATTCCAAAGCCTCTTACCTTGGAAAGTATAAACTTTGAAAACACTTGTTAACACTGTTTCTGTTGAGTTCTTGGACAGAAACAATTTCTGTGTGATTACTTCTGCTTTCTGTATTTCTACATACTAGTAGTTTGTTATAATTTGTAGACAGGAATGTAGTTAATGACCCACCAAATAAGATTTCACCCTTTGCATTTTTTTTCAGTTTTCAGATGCCTAGCATTGCATTAACTTGAATCTAAAAAATAGACCTTCCCCTGTTGATCCAACCCAGTTTGTTATCATAATGCATAATGGATGGCATCCTGTAAGTAGCACACACAGAGAGAAGTATACCTGCCTATGTCTATTTTTGGCCACTTCAGCAGTTGGTATTCTCTTCCTTCCTCTGCAACAACTAGAGTTTGCAACCTCGAGTTACTGCAGAGCTGCCAGTGTCTCCATGTGTACAATCTAGGTCTAGAGAAGAGTTGGGAGGCTTGGAAAAGTGTTGGTCTACAGGCCCATAGCCAGAAAAAATTTTTTGGGGGGGGGGTTGAAACCGGCCACCTAGCTCACGCTGAAGCAAAGAGCACAGCATTCAATAGCCTGCAGCTCCGCCCCTGTCAACCACCTCCACCAAGTCTGGTCTCCTTAATGAGAGCATTCAACCCCTGCACCCCTCCCCAACTTGGTTGCTTTGCTACATCGGCTATTGCTCCAAGTAATGACAGTGTGAATAAAATGTCAATATTTGCTTGAGATAGTGCTTTCAGTTCTGGAGGGACTCTTAATTTTTTGCATTTCATAGACTTAGCATGGGGATTTGGTTAACCAGTTAAAATTCATGAGTAAACCAGGTTTTTTTAAACCTGAATTTTTTTTGGGGGGGGGGTGAACTTTCTAAAAGTTGCTATTCAACTAAAGTGACTGAAGGATTTTGTTTATAAGGTAAAGGAAAAGATTTTCCCATGAATACTAAAATAATGTATAAATATTAAAATAAATATAGCACTCCTACTTCATGGATTTTCACTTTTTTGTGGGTGGTCCTGGAACGTAACACCCATGATAAGTGAGGGACCACTGTAGCATGGAATGATCAATTACAGATGGTCTGTGTCCTGTTTCCTCCAGAAGCTGCATCTATTCATTTCCCTAAAACTGGAGGTGAGTGAAAATGTTATTTGTGGCATGGGAGGGTATATGTATGTGGGTGGAAGGAAGTAATATCATTTAGATGGGAATCATGCTTTCTGGTGGCATCTGAATTTAATTTTCTTCCATTTTGTCCAGATAATGGAGGTACACTTCCATTTCCTTCTTGTTTTTCAAAAGGGGCCTCATATAAGACCTTTAGGTGCTGCATGTGGTTCACAACCTGCACCACATCAATCCGTAATTTAAGTCTTGAACTCTCATTTTTTCTTATTTTCTGAGTTCTACTTTTAAAAAAAAGCATTAAATATGTCCATGCTAGTTTTATTGGTGGGATAAAGCCCACAATATTTCTCTCTCTGTATATTGGGTCGTAAACTATGTTTCATTATGTTGAAGTAATTTGGTATGGGCCACATGCCAGACAAAGTGGGGAAGGGCAAATACTAAAACTGGACAGATCTATGGTCTTTTCTCTCTTGCTGTCACAAACTTCTCACTCCCTCTTCTTCTTTATTATCCTTTAGGCAGGGTTGTTTCTGCAAGAGAGACAAAATGAAAATATTTTTCCCTTTCAAGAATTCTGCTACTTTGTGAATTTTTCTTTCATTCCCCAAATTTCTAACATTGCTGTAACTTAAAGCTTCATCTGAGTATTTGGAAAAAAACAATTTAAATATTCAAAGAAAAAGAACATGTGAAGTTACTAAAGGGACTTCAACAATAGGTTTGTGCAATTTGGATGGAGGGAGATCCATTTTTGGTATCTGAATTTCATTGGGTACCCAGATTCATTTTCAGGAGCCCCCCAAAAATCAGCTAATGGACAAATTTGTTTTCGGCTAGACAGCCAAAAGATCCAGGAAGATCTGGCCTGTTGGTGGGAATGGGGAACTTACGATGCTCCCCTTTCCATTTCTGGGATCCTTTTCTTTTTACCTTTCAAGGGGTCCTGTGTTTGAGGAATGGGGTTAAGGAAGCATCTTTCCTGGACCCGTTTTCTATTTCCCTTTCAAGGGAAACTGGGTTTGAAGAATGGGATTAAGGAAGAATCCCTCCTGGGATCCTTTCCTATCTTCCTTTCAAGGGAATCTGGGTTTGAAGAACGGGGTTAAGGAAGCATCCTTTCTGGGACTCTTTCTTTTCTTCTTTTCAAAGAAGTCTGGGATTGAAGAACGGGGTTAAGGAAGCATCCTTTCTGGGACCCTTTCCTTCCTTTCAAAAGAGTCTGGGATTGACGAACGGGGTTAAGGAAGCATCCTTTCTGGGACCCTTTTCTTTCTTCCTTTCAAGGAAGTCTGTTTTGGAGGACTGGGGTTAAGGAAGCATATGCTGCATGTTACTGAATAGAAGGGAAGAAGCCATGTCTGGCAACCATGTGGGTCATTTCGAGCAAAAAACCCCAAAAAACATGGCAGCTGAGCCCTTGCTGTTACTGCCAGCTGAACAAGCCAGATTGGCTGAAGAGAACCAACCAAACCAAATTTTTACTCAAGCCTATTACACAATTGTAAGAATTTTAGGTTTGAAAATTCTTACAATTGTGTAATAGGCTTGTGTAAAAATTAAATGTGTATTCTACAGGTTATTCTGGGATAGGCAGAATTTTCAAGAGGGGTTTTGAAATTAGGCAGAGAGAAACATGAAATTATACAAAATGCCTCCTTTTAGCCTCAGCTGTGTCTATATAAAAACATTTCATGAAAGTGGTACATTTCAGAATGACAATGTATTTGTTGGATATAACATGTAGACCTGGGGAAAATGTGATCAAAGCAGAACCATTGTGCTGAAGATAGTACTATGTGATTTCTATGAAGAGCCACATAATCAATATAGTAAATACATTTCTTCCACAGAGATGTGTTTAATGAAAGTTCCAAATTAAATTGCTATTAGAATATTTCAAGAAGTCTCTTAAACTGTGTTGATGCAAAGAGAGCTGCTCTTGCCTGTGGTTTTAATTAAATGTGTATTCATTTACGCATCAAGAGAGAAAAAGCAGAAAATAATGGTTTTCATTTCATAGTAGCAGCTTTTACAAAGGCCTTTGAAAACCTCCTTTTCAGTTGTTTTTATCTGTTTGTTTTGTTCTGTTAGAAATGTAATACAATGTTCTGGTTGCGGATGACACGATAAATAAGTTGGAAAGCAATGAAAATCATTTAAAAACTGAAAAAAGGTTATCAAGTGGTTGTTTTTCTTCACTTATTGTTCTGCAACACAATGAAGAAACAAATAACAAAAGATGTGGCCAAGTGGTTATAGAAAGGACAACTAATAAAGAGCTTTGTTTTCATTATGTAATAATTAAGCAAAAGCAAATTAACTAAAGCAAACTTTATATTCAATGGTAACACAGCCTAACAAAAGAATTTCCTAGGTTTTAGGTCTGTTCCTGGGGTTATTTGTAGTGCCGATTCAAAAAATTATATTGAATAGACTGCATCAGTGCTAGTTTCCTAGATATGGTTATCATGATTTTCTATGGGTGAAAAGATGGTGACTGGTAGACTGGCATATGTTCTGTATCTTTAAAACTAGAGCTGCTTGGGAAAAAACAGTGCCATTTTTGGAATCAGCAGCTCAAATATATCCGGAAGTAGGGCTAACATTTGAGACATCAAAATGTGTGGTGGCCAGTGTAATATATATGCACCTGTTGATGTGGGTCATGCCACAAGAAATTGCTCTCAGCTACCTGATGCACTTGCAAGCTTAGGAAAGACAACCCCCCCCCCCCAAAAAAAAATAACAACACTTGGCTGCTCAAAGAAACAATGAAGGGTGGATGGATGGCAGGCCCAGGAAGAATGAGGCTTATATGTTGCTTTCTCATATAGCATGTCTATTTGTGGGAAGAAAGGTACAGAATGAGAGATTCAATGTGAATGCTTAGAGTAAAAGAGGAGTGGAAGGGGTAGAGTTCAAAATAAGAGAATTCATAAAAGGTATTTTGGAGGCAGCTGTTTACTTTGCCTGTTATATGCAAACACATACACCCACAGTAAGATCACCTAGAATAGAATCACATTCTTTCCCAGATTTATTTATTTACTGTATTTATATCCTGCCCTTCCCAACCCTGAAGGGGACTCAGAGAGGCCTTACAATTGGCAGCAATTTGATGCTGTGAACAGACAATAGAAAATAAACATGTACATCGAACTGCTAGGTTGGCAGAAGCTAGGGCTGACAGCGGAAGCTCACACCGCTCCCCGGAATCGAACCTGTGACCTTTCGATCAACAAGCTCAGCAGCTCAGTGCTTTAACCCACTGCACCACCGGGGGCTCCCTTATATAATATTATGTTTACTATTATGAAATTCATTTGTAATTTCTTTGTGAGGTTAAGAAAGACCTCAATACACTGTTAATTATTTCAAATATGGCCCACTTACTGTGTCCAAATGAG